AGACAGTCACGCCTCAGATTTATACTCCACTCTGCTTCTGGTATTTCAGCTTTAATGGTTTATAGTGTCAACTCGTTGTTTGGATAATCTTAATTGACTTGTTATATTAGAACAGTTTACATTCTGTTTCTCTTTTTGCCTCTCCTCACATGGGATGATTTTGTGCCATGATTTGATGGGAAAGTACTCTGAAAATCACTGATTTGTTACTTTGTTTTAATAAAGCTGATGTTTTGTGTGTATGCTCTTTGTACTCTGAGTACTACACTACAAAGCTTAGGCACCTACTATAAGCTTTGCTCCATCCTTCATCAGGAAACCATCAAAAAATTGTTGAGTTGATTAGAGTTACACAAAAGATCTATATTACATACTTGTGTGCACAATAGCTTAACTTAGTCTGCTGCTATAAACTGTGTCCAGTATCAGAAACGTGAGCATGTGGGGATTTTTTTTACCCCAGTTGTAATTAGGAAGTGTTTACGGCTCCTAAAAGGGCTTGTGGAGGAGGAGGATGTTTTCAAGGTATCCAATACATCTAATACTGTAACATTGTGCCTGGAATGCCAGTCATTAGTTTGACCCTGAGTGTTTTTCCTGTGACCCTGAACTGATCTTTTGAGTTTCATTTGTCCTTTCTGTAGGAATGTAATGTTCTTTGGACAGGTGAGAAGAGCATAGCAATAGCTGGGAGAATGATGGTTGTACTTCTGTTCATTTCAGGCTTATGAGTAGTGTGGAGAAGCAGCTTTCCCTGTGATGGTAGTGGTGTACATTGGAAAAAGCCTGATGGTGTTTTTTTTTTACTAGTCACTTTTCAAAGTCACTGTCAGAGAAGGGAGCCCACGCACTGTAGGAAAAACATGCTTTTAGGTCTGACCGTAAAGAATGATTTTACTGTCACGTGTTTGTCTTAAACACTTTAATTGTTGGTTTGGTTTGAAAGCAGGTGTAAAAAAAGGTAATATCTGTGTCCATTTTTCACCTGTGAGGCTGAGTTTTACACCTACCTGTAGGCATAATCAGAACTCTTGTAAGTTTAAGCTTAGTGAGCCAAAATCCAGCATCAGGTACTTCAAAGTAAATCTCAATGCCCAAGCAAACTGAAAAATACTGAAGAAATTCCTATTTTGTTACTTTTTGAAAGTATTTAAAAAAATTTTTTAAAATCCCATTCTGTGATTCAGAAATATACATTCCTAATATTTCAAGTGAGAGAAGCCAGTGGAATGGAGGCACTAATGAGTAATAGTACAGCTCTGTAGCAGTACCGCTCTTTGATGTAAGGTACATTTGTGAATTTAAGTAATGAAATGTACTGTACTGGTTTATTTATGCAAATTATTCAAATAATTTTTTATTAAATAAATGTAATGACATACCTTTGCTTTGAGGAAGACAGGTTTTTTAATCTGAAACAGCCCGTTAAGTGTTCCTACCTAGTGCTTAATTCGGTCTGTGCCTCAGGACAGTGTAGAGAACACAGACATGTTCAGGAGACATTTCTCATTTTTCTTGAACAGTGGAGTAGGATCACTGCCCTGAGTCAGTTCTGGCAAAACTGTGGAATGCACAGCTTGATCTGCCTTTCCACTGCCAGAGTCACTTGCCTTTGGCTGCCAGAGAGGAAATTGGGACGTTTTACTCTCTTCTGGTACAATGGTTTAATTTAACTCAGTTTTTGTTGTGTTTACCCAATTACTGTGTCTTGGTTCCCGTGAGCCAAGTTAAAGCAGGAACTGTGCCAAAGGTATGAGACATTTTGGACTTGAATATTGCTGCACCTGAGGTCCTGACATAACGGAGAACTTACAATGCAATCATCTCACAGCAAAATCTTTTAATCTCATTATAGTCTCTGCAATTAACGTATAATAACAGTCATGTTATTACCAGAGACATGGCCCATTGTTCAACCTGAGCCTTGTCCCACTGGTGTGCAGGGAGGGAATTCAGTTCCAGTTCTAACTGGAGGTACAAAAAATGAAATGTTTCCTGTTTCAAAGCAATTCCATTTTGTTTTTGTAGATCCCAGGTCTGGTGAGTGGTACCAGGTTGATGTGCTGGATTCTCAGGATTCCCGTCACCGTGTAGGCAGAGGTTGCTGTGGTGGCTGTGCTGGTCTAAGAGGTTGTTATTGGTGTGTCCCTCGTTATTGCTTTAAATTAGATGCCCTTTAGAGCTCAGTCTAAGAGATAGGCTGTGTTTACTGTAAATGTATTATTCCCTTCTGCCCCATCTAGTTTTTTGGAATCTGTCCACAGACTAATGCAGATGTATGTGGGACCTTCAGGAGCTGTTTTCTTAGCAGTCCTTGATTCCAAGGTTTTCTCCATGTACTTCTAGTGATAAAACACAAGGATGCCAGAGGAGTGGCTATAGTGACTGCAATACTGAAAATAGTCATAAGCAAAGAGAGCTTTTCATTGGTATGTCAAAAGGAAAAAAACCCCAACCCTAATCTTCTCTAGTAGGAAATGTCAGATTTTCTCTTTAGCATAAAAATAGTCATCTTCTGACAACATATAAAAGTGAACCTGAAATTTTATACATGTTAAAACTGTCACTGGTGTAAGAAATGCAAACTATCATTTTAATCTTAAAAGCTTTGTGGAGGCAGAATAATAGTGCTCTCTTAACTGTCCTTAAAAGGTTATGTGTTTTTCTCGTTTTTAACACTGGAAAACTTGATGCAGTTTTGATGACACTGAACCCTGCTATGGGATAAAATAATCAAGATTCTAAAAGAAGACAGTCTTTGAAAAGTGGATTTTTTTCTGTTACCCAAAGTACGTCAGAGTTTTCCGTATTATATTAATTCTGCTTAAAGACACTAAAATGTTAAACGTGAGTAAGAAATGGGTGTAGGAATCATGAAGTAGCGAAGAAACTCTGCATGTGGCAGATAGAGTGTGAAACAATGTTTTTACTTACTAACGGTGTTGATTAACAGTATCTGAATCCATATATGAGAGGAGTTAAACATTTACTTGAAACTGTTATGACCTTGATGAGGTGCTTGTGCAGCAAACATCAAATTCTGTTTTGAATTGAGTATTTCTCTTGTAAAAAATCACTTGGTGGTGGAAACTGAACTAATTGCCTTTGTTCCTCTTGTTCTTCAATACCTGAGAGCTGGTAGGCTCTTGGCTGTGTCTCTGGACAAAAGTGGTGAGTGTTCCCGTTTCTTGAGGTCCCAATTTGCCAACTTTAATGCTCACTGAAACTGGCTCACTAAACTAGTGATAAGACTGAATGTACCATTGCAGGGCACATTGATGTCCAAAGCAGTTTTGTGTCACCACTGGTGACCACAGACAGACCCACGTGGAAAAGTTAAGAGCAGGGCAAAATATATAAACACTTTCATTTCAGGGAGTTGCACAAGTTTGTTCGTTTAATAAACCTGAATGGATCTGTGTTCCCAATACCTGTCTCCCTTTAAGGTGAGAGAAAGTTCTCACATCCCTGGTGTCCTTTGGCAGGTGAGATTTATGCTGCCCTTATTTGCAGGGAGGGTTGCTGCTGTCAAAAATTGCTTAAAGGTTTGAAGATAAAGTTGCCTGAATTCTCAGGTTTATTATTCAGTGTTTTTGAACCTCTTCAAGCTTGATGTATGAAACACTGCGTCAGGGTTATTTTTATAGGGGTTATGTCATGTTATAGAAGTTCAGATCTAGATCTAAATTGTAAAATTCAGAATAATCTTGCTTTTAATCCTGAGCTTCTTGTGAAGCTAAGCATTGTCTCCTTATGGGTAGATTTGGCTGAAAACTCTATGAAGTTATGCTGATTATTCCCCCCACCCCAGCTTCTTCTGATTTTCCTTTATCATTACAAAAGAATACACAATAATAATTTTGTTCTTATTTTTCTCAGTTATGTGTTTTCATGTAGATGCAAGGTGGTTCTAAGTGCTCCAGAGAAGCTGAGTTCTTGTGTATTTGCTAAGAAAGCATCGTTCTTCATATTCTGGTGGTGCCAAGATACTCAAGAGTTTGTAACTTCTAAGACATGATGGGGTCATTAAGATTTTAGTAGCGTGGGTTTAATACATCTGGGTCTGTGATGCGTGTGCTTTGAGGGGGTATAAAGGCTCATCTAATTCTTGAATGTTTAAAGAATGGAATAAAAAGTTCATTGGTTTTATCAGGAAAAATAGAACTATCCATCAAAAGGAAGAGAATTGGGAAAGCATGAAGCACTCAATAAAATTACCTTGGTTGTTAGTTTGGTTGATGAAGGAGAGCAGAAAGCTGTGGTTTTGTTCTGGGTGAAGCTTTACAGGTTAACCGGTTTTTGTGTTGAGACTGAAGCAGCTCACGAAGGCAGTAACTTGGTTACAGTGAAAGGGGCAAAGATGCTGTTTGCTGAAGCTTGGCCTGATGTCAAAATGTTCATCCCAAACTAAAGTTCAAGTACCTTGTACAGCCAACAGCACGAACAAAGGAGCAATGGATTATCCATCTGAGAATTTTTCAATTTAAATCCCTTATGGAAGACAGCCTTGGTCAGGGATAGATGACTGGAGTTATTATGGGAGCACTGCCTTGGTACTCACACAGCTTGTGCTCTGTAGGAGTAGAGAAGGGATTAGCAGTAAGTTCCTTTGGCTTTTGATCCATGTTAAGTAGGTAGAGCTAACCTAAAGTGCTGGAATGTTGTGCAATAACACTAAGTAAAATAGGCTGGGAACTGATGGTAGGTTAAGACTGAGTAACCTCTGTAAAGGTGTATTTTTTTTCAGAATTAGGTAAAAAAGAACCCCAAGGCTCTTACCAGCTATCTTAGCATGTAATGGCTTTCAGGAATATGTGGTTTAATGTTAAATAAACACTGACTGGCAAGTAAATGGATGAAAGCTTTATATTGAAGCATTTTATTTTTTTTAGAGATTTGTGTAGGATCGGTGTAGTAAAAATAATAATGATTAATCAAGATGATGACTTTGTAATAATCAACACAAATGTGTAATTTTGATTTTTTTTTTTTTTTTTCAGCTCCAGTTGTTAACCGATACAACAGAAGAGTATCAGGTATGGTTTCTTTTCTGAGAGTTTAAAGTTTGTGAAATAGTTTTTAAATGTGTATTTGACTAAAGGAATTGCATTAAAAATTACCTTACCCTTATCACTGCCTTATTTGTCATAATTCTTGCAGTATTTTTATTTGAAATAATGATAATTGCTTCTTAATTCACTGTAGACAGCATAGCATAATTTGCCATAATTATTTTGCAGGAAAATGAAAAAAATGGCAGCATTTTTCAGCTGTACCATATCTCCTAGTCTTCCGTGTTGCTAAGAATTTTATCTCTGGTTAGAATACAAAAATATGGGGGGGAGGAGTGCCCCCTTTCTGCATTGTTTTAGCCCCTGGCTTGTGCATCTGATATTAAATTTGTTGAATTAGTGGCTGTTCACTTGTTCTAGAGACACAGATTATACTCTTTTATTTGTTTGTTTTCTATCTCAACCAATATTAAATGCTTTAATGAGAAACTGTTATTCCCAACAAATTCTTTTCAAAGTTGGTTTTTGAAAGAGTATCATGTGAACAAAATGTTATGTGAGGATGAGAAGGTACTGCATCATTTTTTCATTTGAGGTGCAGTGTGAATTGCTCTACATGTGTTACTTTTTTTTGTCTTCAGATATTTAACTAACATTTAGCTGGCCTAGGAGCTGGTTGTTTGGTGAAACCAAAAACTCTAGTTTTGAGTTCAATTCCACTCAGTTTGTAATCTGTGTATATGATCTTACATATTATTGGTATGTTAGTTATGGTGGGGCATTGTTGATTTTATATATATAAATATAAAATATATATATAAATATATATATTTTATAGATATATATAAATATATATCTACATAAATAAGTGGTATATAAATAAATGCAAGATAAATACATGTTTATGTGCAAATTGTCCTTATAGTCATGCGGTTCACTTCTTTGCTGCTGGTTGCTTGGGTGTGATTAAGGGCATGATTGTGTATTTATACCACTACAAATAAGTAACTGAGTATAATGAGAATTTCATAACTCTTAAAAAATTACAGTGTTGGTAGTTTTGATCTATTATTATGTGAGAAATTTAGGCAGGACAGAACTGTCTTGAATAATGGAGTTTGATACTCTGATAGTAAATATTGCAAGTCATATATTGTAGAGTATCTTAATCTGGAGGGGCCTAAGACATTTTAATGTCTCTGCTAATTAAACTAATCCATCCTGGAACCTGCTGATGGAGTAAAATCATACAAATGAGAAGTGAATACATCTCAGATTTCAATTTAAATAAAGGCCAAATTATTTCCAAAGTTAAAAATTGAGCTTTATTTAGAAGGCATTTGTTATCTTTTTGAATTTTCAATACTGAAATGTAATATTGGTGCTTACATAGTACTGAGCTGCTCCTAGTTAAAAAACAGGTTTAGTCATTTAAGGGGGTCTAAAGGTTAATGTGAACAACTAAACAGCAAATGTAAAATTGAATTGCTAACTTGTGCAATTAGATTAAGGAGGACTGTTTAGTTTCTTAATAATGCTGCTGCTTCAGGAAGAGCTAGAATAATTCAGAGTTTACAGTTCATCTTAGAATTGTCATGGAGACAAACAATCCTAGAATATATATATATATTACTACTTTGTGTTAAATATTTTTTTATTGTGAAAAGTTCTCCAGTCTCTCTCTCTATACACTGCATAGGTCACGATCAGCGTGGGACTTGTTAAAATGCAAAGGCGATGCAAACAGCATCCATGTGTGCACAAAGAGAGGCTGTTTGCCTACTCTTGGCAGGAAAAGTAGAGAAACCTACTGGTTTGGGCTGGGGGGGAGTTGTTTGGTGGTCTTTTTGCACTCCATACCTGCTGTGTCTGTCAAGAAGTTACCCAGATAGGAACAAGACTGGCAGGGCTCTGCTGGGGCACTGAACTCAGCTCCCTGCCATCACAGGCAACCACATTTTACAATCTCTTGCATAAAATGAGTGACTCATTTGCTGGTTTTGGTGCTCTGGATTTGATTTGATTTCCCTGTTAGATGCCTTAGGTTTTAAGCAACTTTTCATTCTGCAATTAATAAAAATAATGCAAATAATAAAATAATAAGACAAAGATAGGTTTTGCCTTTACAAACCAACAAAACAGCAAATACCAAACCAACATTGCCTTACAGATTACTCAGCGTAGTATCTAAACATTTCTGGTTTTAACTAATTAAGTAAAGCAGAACAAACCACGGAGAAAAAAAGCTGTCACATAATTCTTTTTGTAATTGCATTTAGTGTATTCTTTTCTGGACTTCTCTTCAGAGGAGCCTTCTGCTAGTCTGTGTTGCCCCTTGTCAGTCTGACCAGGGATTGCTGTGTTTCCAGTGCAGTGTATATTTGTAAGGGCAGTGAAGAGCAGTGTTAAGTTGCTTGCTGCTGTCGAGATTTACATGCACAAAATTGTAGATTTACAGAGAAGAGTTTAAAAACTCGCATGGGGAATATAAAAGAAAATACTTAAAATCTGGCTGCCTAGGGAATTACGGCGTTGCTCTCATTTTTCACTAGGTCAAAAATGAAAGGAAAAATATAATTTTAATTAAAGGAGAAGTCGATAAAGTAATTGACTACATTATACATACAGTGTAGGACAGGCTAACAGTTGTTCTGGTAAACTCTTCAACTAGAGATATGTTTTTGGAGAGTAACAATTGTTTATTATGTTCTTGTATATGTAACAGTTACTTCTAAATTGCTTTATTAATGTCCTCAATCTTAAATTTGGAGTGTTTACTACTGGTCAGTTGTGATTAGCTGCCTGCAGATAACAGGATTATCATGGTTCCCTTGGTGGACCTAATGCAAATTCTAGGGATACATAAACCCATAGAATAAGTCTGTTGTAATGATTACTAAATTTTCATTTAGGTGTTTATTTTTAGTTACGAAACCTCTAAACTGTTCTGGAAAATACTGCCAGTATTGTAAATATTTAGCTGTCATTCTGTAAGACTTACTCAAAATGTGAGTTCTCTGTTGATCAGGAATTTTATTTTTGCACTTCTTGAAAACCTTGAGCAAATTAGATTACGTCTAGTTTATGCAGTACTACAGTAAAATACTTCAAATCAGGACTTAAGAAAACTGCTTGCCAAATGGTAGTCTGTTAGAAAGGTCAAGCTGACCTTGTACAATAAAACATACTTAGTCTATATTCTTTTTGTCCAAAAGAAGAATTATTTTTATTTCCACAGTTCTCAAATCAAAAATTGACCAAAAGTGATTACTGCTTTTATATCCCATAAGTGGTAGTAGCACAGCCTCACATACCACTTCTTTTTACTAAATCTGTAGTATCGAGAACTCAGGGATTCATTCTGCTCATTTGTGCTCCCCATTTCTTTAACATTTGCTGCTATTTCATCCCCCAGGCTGAGGTGCTCTCTGAGGGGGAGGGATGGTGTTGCCTTGTGTGCCTTTAAATTCTGCCAAATGGTTTGGCAGCTGTAAAGGCTCTGCAGGGAATCCCATTTGCTCCTTGACCAGAGAAACCTGGCTTTTTGTGCTGGCCAGAGGTTCAGCCAGCAAAGCAGGGATCCATGGATGGGATAGTGAGAAACCCCATGGACTGTGCAGGAGGGTCATCCTGGAAAAGGGGGGCTTATCTAATCACATTCATGGAATTATTTATAGAAGTGCAGAGTGGTAGTGTTCTCATGAAGAGAAACAGCCTTTTCCAGGGAACACTAGGAGGGAGAAGGAGAAATGAGAGCTTGATGTTCCCCTAGAAATCAATCTAGTAAATAGCTGGCTCGTGTGTGGCATGTTGGCCGTGTAACATGTTGAGAGCCAAGGTGTGCACACAAACCCCAACGTCGCTCGGCTCTGATTTGTGTACGAGCCTGGCTTGATGAAAATACTCCTGTTTGCAAAATCATAAGCCATCCCTACGTAGAAACTAAAAAGGAAAAAAACACCTCACTAATCTGAAACCCTCCTGACTATAGGGTGCCACAGACTGTGGTGCCATGGGCAATTTCAGTGCTAATTACCCAGCAGACCAGTCGTCTTGCTGCTGCTTTAAGTGAATTAGCAATGTCTGAGCCTTCTGCCAATGTAACCCATCTGCCCAGGCTTGGATTGGATGGCCTAAAACCCACATAGATTCCTTCCTCCCAAGAATTCATACTTGCTTCATTACATTCCTTAATCTTTCCCCAAGCATACGGGCTCCTGACAAACTTAATTCTGTTAGTCACTTCATTTTCTGTAATGCAAGAGACTGCAGAGCACACCAGTGAATATCCCAGCCCTTGGTTAGTGACTACAAGGTGCAGGGAGGTGGGAGAAATCAGTGATACCTCCTTTCTCAAGTAATAATATTAAAGCTATTTCAAAACTAGAGGAGGAGAGCATGGATAATTGTCCCACTACTGATATGTAACATTGAGGAGAATTTTGCTCCTGGTGGGATATGAATGAAAGTTAATTGTGTTTTTGGAATGAAGGGTGTGACGCCCACTACAGTCTCACTTGTGCATAGTTTCTCCTCTTTTAGTTTTAGCATATTTCAATAAAGTTTTTTGCTGGATTTCTGTACTGCCTTTTCTAGACACCTTTAATTCATTCTACAGAACACCCACTCTCCAGCACACTTGCTGATATCTCCTTGGGATAGGAAAAAGCTGACAAAATGTGACACCCATAGCATATACGTATGACAGAAGGTTTTAATCTTTTTTCTCTAATTATTTCTGTTTGTCTCAATGACCTGGTATAATATATCTCTCTTGCATATGTCTGTACTCCCTCCTGCAGTCTTCCTTTGGCCTCAGTGGGATAGGAATGAGATTACAGTTTTCACATTCAGCAACTATAAGCAGAATAATTGACCTATATAATCTAGGGAATCAATATGTGATAGTTATTTCCTTGATATTTTTATACTGGCAAAGTAACATGACTGTCAGGATCTGTGCCTGTTTTCATGTTAATATAAAAGTAATCAAATAAACAGGACTTGCCTGAGTTAGTCCCTTT